GTAGCAGAAGAAGAAGAAGAAGAAGAAGAAAGACAAAGGAGAAAGTGAATGAAAGTATATATATAATGAATGAAAACGAAGAACGAAGAATATAAAAGGAGTGATAAACGTGAAGAATGAATGACAGGGAAAGAAAAAAAGAAGAAAGAAAGAAAGAAAAAAAGAAGAAAGAAAGAAAGAAAGAAAGAAAGAAAGAAAGAAAGAAAGAAAGAAAGAAAGATACAAAAAGAGAAAAGACCAGAACAATAATAAAAGGAAAGATAGAATAAAGATAAAATGAAGGTGAATGAAAGAAAGCAAGAAAGAAAGAAAGAAAGAAAGTAAGAAAGAAAGAAAGAACTAATGTAAGAAAGAAAGAAGTAGATAAGAAAAGTAATAATGAATGCAAGTGTAAAATTAATGAAAGAAACAAACAAAAAAGCAAAAACGAAAGAGAATACATGATGAAGCGACAAGAAGAAGATGAAAAAGAAGACGATCAACAAGAAAAAGAACGTGAATGACGGAGAAATATAAAAGGAAAAAAAAATGGAAAAAATCTTTTTTAAAAATAAGCCACGAAAGAAATATGAAGCCTAAAGAAAAAAAAAATTCACATCATGTGGAAACATGTCTATAGAAAGAAAAAGAAAGATTAAAATAAAAAAAAGAGAAAAAAGGTAATACATGAACAAATTAAACGAGAGAAAAAGAGAGAGAGATATAAAGTAAAGTTGGAAAAACTAAAAAAAAAAAAAGAAGATGAAAGACAGACAGAAAGAAAGAAATAAAACAAAGAATATGAACGAAATATGAAATTATTTATTCAAGAAAGAAAGATTGTTCGGTCCAAAACTAAAATTGCCCACCCACATTACACGACGCGTAGTGTAAATTGCATATACTCTAGCTCAGTTAAGGAAGCAGACAAGGAAAATTAGATTTCATGCTCCAAGAATGCGCCACAGAATTGTCCTGCGAGACATATGGCCTAGTGGACAAAATAATTTGTTAAGCGAATCGAGTTACCTGATGGTCGAGAGTTCGTTACCCGTGTCAAGTAGTGCAAAAATGTCAAATACTCTAGTTTAGGAAAAGCTACAATCGAGAGAATGAAGACGAATTAACTGGTGTGAGTTATCTCCCCTAAGATGAACAGTGGAATGAGAAAAATCTGCCGACATGGGTGGAAAAAACAGTTCAGTTGGAAATTCCCAGAAGGTTACAACAGAAACCTGAAAAAGGACAAAAGATTCAACAACCGAAAGAGTGTAAAAACCCGAACGAATTAATACTGAAGATTAATGATTAGAAAAAAATAATTTAATTCTGAATTAAATACAGTGTAACCCGGATATAAGAGAGTTGTCGGGACCGGTGAAGAAGTTTCTTATATCCGGGTTTCTCTTATATCCGGGTTTGGTCTATTTTATATACATTAACACAGGCTCTAATTTGGGACCAGAGAAAATATCTCTTATATCCGGGTTTCTCTTATATCCGGGTTACACTGTAATAACTTAATTCTAAAAAAAAATAAATACAATTTAATTCTAAATTTTAAAAACATCGTAACAATGAAAAAATTCGGACAAATCTAAATTATTGTACCAGTCAACACAAATTAACCAATTTCAAAACAGTTTATCGTTTTGTGTTTTTTGTTTTGTTTTTTTTTTTTGTGTGTGCGATAAACTTTAAGGACCTGGGCGATTGTGGCTCTTCACGATTTCCTGTCTCTTGCTCTTTTACAATACCTATTTCTCTTTTTGGTTCCTTTTCTTCAATGCATTATATCAAAACACGTTAAATAAGTTACTGTTTTCCCAATGACTTCACTATGTCCTATGAGTATTATGTTTTTCAAGCCGTCTTTCCTCATTATGTGTTTAAAAAATAATTGAGCTGCAACATTCTAATTGATAACATCGGTATCTTTGTTGTCCTATATTCTCCCAATACATCCTTATATCCTTTGTACATGTTCTCAGTTTCATTCGTAAATTCAGGTTGCCTTGAAGATATTGTGTAACTGTCAATCATGAACTCTGTGGGTTACTTGCGATAGTCGATAGGAAAGTAGGTTCAGGAATAACTTAAGTCTCTTTAGTGCGTAGCTCCACTGAATAGAGTGATCTTTTAAAACGTCTATTCTCCTCATCGTGATCTCTGTTTACAGCCGTTGTTCTTGGTGAGTAGCTTAGTTTGAATAGCTCTAGACCTTTTATTTTTCTATTGTATTTTTAACGGTGTCTACCGTATAATATAAACTTACTTAAATCTTTAAAACGAAGGATTTGTGGACATATGTTGATGTAGACTTTTGTCCTTGTTTTGGTGTGAGGAACCAGACCCCAAAATTTGTAAAGATATTGTTGATGCACAATGTATATAGAATAGTTCCATCCTTATTATTTTTTCAGACTCTTGATTTATTCATCAGAATTGTGCTAAAGCGGTAAACGCTTCATAAGAAAAAAAATATTTTCACTTTTTCATCGAGTGTGCTAACATCTATCTA